GACGGCGCCCCCCGCCATTGGCAGCTTCTGCAAGTGCCCCCCCAGATTCAGGAGGCACCCGTCACTCATGCTGTATGTGTTTCTCACTTCCAAAGCAAACAAGTACAACCAAGGAAAAGTGATGCAATGCTGTCACTACTTGCCAGGTCTGATTTCGTTCCCTTCTGAGCTGCTAAACTATAGCTTAAGGGAAGATTGCCAAGGCTGGCAGCCCTGGCCCTTTCCTGGCTCATTTTGAAGCTTCTTTTTACAGATCATGTAATGCTTTGTTGCACTTCTAACCATCCTGCAATGTGCATTGAAAACTTTCTGTCTTAAGCAGCCATCATTTCCTAACAGTCCTACAATAGCAGCGTCCTTAAAGCAGGGGCCGGCAATTATTTCAGGTGGAGGGCCACTTACTGAGTTTTGGCAAGCCATCGAAGGCCACATGACAGGTAGCCCGAGGTAGATAAATATTAATTTTCTAAATTTTTTAGGGAGGGGCCCCACGGGCTGGATAGAATGGCCTGGCGGGCTGCATCTGGCCCGCGGGATGCATTTTGCCTAGCCCTACCTTAAAGTGTCTGCTGTGATGGTCCTACACTGCCCTTTAAGTTGGTCCTGGGGTTGTGGAATGAATGGGATGTTGGTCAGAGCACAGCCGGGTGGTCACCACTTGTGGATTTGGCCCAAAGACACTTGTGACTCTAAGGCATGGGGCACTAACAGGAGATCACCCCTAGAGACGAAAGGCAATGCAGACCATTGCCAGCATCCTTACAAGTGTCAACTACAGCCCAGGTGAGTGCCAGGTCTCTGCTATGGCTGATGCAATAACAGTTTTAAGTGAGGGTGAGAGCAGTGTCAGCCAGGCTGAGAGCTAAAGGGATGTTCAGAGAGGCAAGAAGTCACTCCCTCATAGGATCCAGGACTCAGAGCTTGAATGGCAGCACCTCTTTTAGCAGGCAGCACAGAGGCTGCGTTGGGACTAATGACAAGGACCCCTTGTTGGAGAATGGAGATGTGATGAGACCACCCCCACCTCCAGTGGGTTCATATTGGCCTGAAGTCTTCTGTCTTGGATTGTCAGCAGTTTGGGGCAGCGGCTGGGGCTGATACGAGCTGTGGCGTTAAGGTTTCTCCCTTCCAGGAGCATCAGATATACCTTTTCTATAATGCCCCTGAATGCACCCTGAAGCACAGCAAAATGCAGTGGGCCTGAGCCTGGAAGGAATCTCAGGCAAAGGAAGAGCATTCACCCCCTTGAAGGTTTTGGTTAGAGAGGTCACCAGTGCCATGGGAATCACCTTGGTTCTGGGCGCTCTGCGGGACTGTTGGACTAGAGAGAGCACTGGGGTGCAGCATGGCTCTCTGGTGAGACTGAACGCTGCTGTGGTAGTCTCTGCAGGAATGATTCTTCCCTGCCTGTTGTAATGCCAAGGGCAGTGTCCAGGCCATCCAAAGCCCTCTCTGCCTCAGAAAATCAATATGGACAGTACATGGGGAAGCACTACACAGAGCCGTGGGTGTTACAATTGGTATTATGAATTCAGGGAGCTGCGCAGAACAGCTGCAGAGCATCCAAATGCATTTCCAATCGCATTCCTATAGGGAACTACCCTGGCTAGTTCCAGCAGAAACCGGGCTCTTCCCCTGAGCAGCTTATATCCAACACCAGCAGCAGGCTGTTGAGGGATTCCCAACCAGTTCTCAGTTTCCACTTCTGGTCAGACAGCAGCCCTAACCATCCCTGGGGTGCAGCCTGAGAATGATGCTGATGGTTACTGTTCGGTATGGACCGGGAGTGCTCGCCCCTGTGATATAGTCCAATGGGGAAGTGGGGAAAAAACTCTCTGCTCTAACTCCTCCAACCAAGTTGTGAAGCTGGAAATACGGCAGCAGGTATTCACTGCCTTAGAGTCAATGCTCTGTGCACGTCTGCTCCTCTTTTCTACTGCACCAGTTTTCACAGGCTGCCCTGTGCCTCGTATCCCCACTACCATGCCACCATCAACAGAGAGACACCAGCAGTAACCTCCATGTTTTCCCTCCAGGTCAATAGCCCCCTCCAGACATGACAGGGAACAAGCATGTGTTCTAGGCATTGTAGCATCCCTGGGTGTTGATTCTCCTCAGATAGGCCGCATGTGGACTACTGGCAGGGACCAGGACTGCCTCTTGGACAATGGAGATGGGATGAGACCACTCCTCAGTGGGGAACCCATTTCTCTCTGGTGTCTCCTGTCTTAGACTATCAGGCCTTAGGGAAATTGTTTGTGTCCCGTGTCCTTCTTGTGCTGAGCACACGGGAGCTGAGTCATGACTTGTAGGGCTGCGCAAAGTGTCGGTCGCCAATTCAATTTGAAGAAGATTCGACCCAATTCAGAGGCTGAATCACCGAATCCAGATTGAATCGGGAGACCAAAAACACCTCTGAATCGATTTAGAGACTCCAAATCAATTTGGAATATATTTGGAAAAAGATTCGGAGATTCAGAAGGAAGTCTTCCAGGGGAACAGAAACTGAGAAAGGGAGGGGGACCAGGGTGGGGAAAAGACTCAGATTTGTAGCTGGCCAGTGACTGCGATCTTTCCCTGAGTCCCCTTCCAATCACAGTGCTCTAGGGGAGGGCCGTAGAAACAGCACATAAGCCTCTGTCTGAAGAGCCGCGAAGCTGCATG